CAGGTTAAATTTAAATAGAAAATTTATTTTGTTTTTTCATTAGAATAAATTTTGTTTAGGTGAAAATTATAAAACAGAAGGTTATGTAATGACACCAAAAACATTTGATCTAATGCGAGAACATTTAAAAAAAACTGGTGGACAAGTAAATTCAAACCAAAAAAAAAAATAATCGTTAATTTAATCTTTGTTTTTTTTTGTTTAATCGAGGTAATAACAAGATTTCCACCTGAACCTAATGGAATTTTACATATTGGTCATGCAAAAGCAATTAATTTTAATTTTGGTTATGCTAAACTCAATAATGGAATTTGTTATTTACGTTATGATGATACAAATCCAGAAAAAGAAGAAGAAAAATTTTTTACTGGTATTCTTGATATTGTCAAATGGCTTGGTAATTTTTTTCAAAAATAAAAATATATTAAATTTTTTTTTTTTTCTATAAAAATATTTTTTAAATTTAGGTTATGAACCTTATAAAGTAACTCATGCATCTGATCATTTTGATCAATTATATGAATGGGCAAAAGAATTAATTCGTCGTGATTTAGCTTATGTATGTCATCAAAAAGGTGAAGAATTAAAAGGACATAATGTTCCTGAATCACCATGGCGTTATAGACCAATTCAAGAATCTTTACAATTATTTGAAGTAATACTTTTTTTTTTTAATTTTGTTTAAATAAGTAAATATTTTAGGATATGAAACATGGAAAATTTGCTGAAGGTGAAGCAACATTAAGAATGAAATGTGTTATGGAAGATGGAAAACTTGATCCTGTTGCTTATCGTATTAAATATGCTCATCATGCTAAAAGTGGTGATAAATGGTAAGAAATTCATTCTAAATATAGAATTATTTTCAATTGTGATGACAATAGAAAATGAAATATTGAATATAGATTTATGTTGGAAAATAATTCGAATAATCTCATATATTGAAAAATTTTTTGTTTCTTATAATTAAATTAAAGTTCGATATATTGTTATGAATTATATTGTGTTTTAAATAGGTGTATTTATCCAACATATGATTATACACATTGTTTGAATGATTCAATTGAAAATATAACACATTCATTATGTACAAAAGAATTTCAATCAAGGTAACAAAAAAACAAAAAAAATTTGTTTTTGTTTTTTTAATTTTATGAATAAAATTTGTGTAGACGTTCATCATATTATTGGTTATGTAATGCTCTTGATTTATATTGTCCTGTTCAATGGGAATATGGTCGATTAAATCTTGAATATACAGTTGTATCAAAACGTAAAATTGTTAAATTAATTGAAAATAATGTTGTTCGGTATGTATGAAATATTTTTATTTTTTAAAATAAAATCTATTAAATTTAAAAATTATTAATCAATAGAGATTGGGATGATCCACGTTTATATACATTAACTGCTTTGAGACGAAGAGGTTTTCCACCAGAAGCAATTAATTTATTCTGTGCACGTATTGGTGTAACTATGTCACAAACAACTCTTCATCCAGATATGCTTGATGCATGTGTACGTGAAGTACTTAATATAACTGCTCCAAGGTATGAATTCATCTTATTCGAATTTTTGGAAAACTAGTTTAATTGTCGGCTTTTATTTTGTTTTAAGAGTAATGGTTGTTTTAGAACCATTAAAAGTAACGATAACGAATTATCCATATGAAAAGATGCAAGAATTAAGTGTATTAAATTATCCTGGAGAAGAATCTCGTGGTTCTCATACAATTAAATTTGATTCGATTATTTATATTGAAAAATCAGATTTTAGTGAAGTAAAATAAATTAATCGAAATCGAAAAATAAATAAATTTTTACTATTTTATTTTAGAATCCAACTAAAGATTTTAAACGTTTAACACCAAATCAATCATGTGGATTAAAACATGTTGCTTTAGTTATTACTGTTCAAGATATTATTAGAGTGAGTTATTAAAAAACAAAACAAAGGAATTTTGCTACTGTAAATTATGACTATTTACGAAAATTGAAAGACAAAAACAAAATTGAAACAATGCATTTTGTAAGATAACTTCTCGTATAAATAAACATTTCAATTTTTTCTTTCAAATTACAATAGTAAAAATACAAAAATTTCCGATGTTTTTTTTTTCAAAGATTATTTCACTATTTTGGTCAATATAATGTAGAATATTTTTAATATTAAAAAATAGGATTCAAATAATGAACCAATTGAATTGAAAGTAAAATGTGAAAAAGTAACGGATGAAGGTGTTGTGAAACCTAAAGGTTTTATTCATTGGGTATCTCATCCAAATAAATGTGAAGTTCGAATATATAAAAGACTGTAAGTTTATTTTAATATTATATTTAATTTATTTCAAAATATTAAATGTAATTATTAGTTTTCTTCATTCAAATCCTGAAGATCGAAAACAAGTTCCAGATGGTTTTCTTTCGGATATAAATCTAGTGCGAATAAACTTTTTGTTTTTGTTTAAAATTTTCTATGTTTGAGTTTTGTTTTCTTCATTTAAGAATTCATTAACAATTAATTCAAATGCTTTTGCTGATGATGGCATTAAAAATGCTAAAGTACTTGATAAATTTCAATTTGAACGTGTCGGATATTTTAGTGTTGATTCTGATACAACAAATGAAAAAGTAAATCTTCAAATAGAAATCAATTATATTATTTCAAATTTTGTTTTATCTTTTTTTTTTAAATTTTAGTATGTATTTAATCGAACCGTAACATTAAAAGAAGATAAACGAATATTATAATCAAACATTTTTTATGCAGATAAACTGTGCTTTGTTGTATATGTTTAAAACTATTGAATATTATCATCGTTTGTATATTATAAATAAAATATTTCTTTTTTCTCAATCGAATGTAACGATCAACAAACATTATTTTTCAATAAAGTCAAACAAATCATTTTATTTTATTTTATTTTTTGGCTAATTCTTGATTGAGAACATTTTTTTTTGCCAATTAAGAAAAAATGTCTGCAAAGCGGAATTAGGAGGGGAAGGAACGAAAATATCCGCATAATGGAATGTTCGAGTAAGTCGAATTGTTGATAATGACTTGAATATTGATGGGGAACAAGTGATTATTCATATAATGATGACTTAACACGATTAAGTATAGGAACTGCGGCAGCACTACTATTTTCTCGTCTAAATTTTTTAACTTGTTAATCATTTAATAATGATATCGGTGCTGTGGGTTCTTCTTTAATCCTATCTTTGATGCGTTCATATACATTTAAAGACGTAGATGAAATTAGCCAAAGATTCGAGCAAAACCAGCTAGGATTCACTTATGAACTTGTTCCAAGTGCAACTCGACGAGCTCTATCTCAATATTTTCCCAAAAACGTTTTCTACGTTTGCTTGATTGAGAAAATGTTATTATTACCTGCTGGATGTGGTCAAAAGTATCGACGTTTGTACAAAAGATGTGATGCTCTGATCAAATCTATCAATCTAATAGAAGAAGAGAGGGGTTTGATCTATTCTAGGATAGGCTTTCGTTTTCCCAAGCCTTGTGGCTCAGAGATGGGACCGGTTCGGTTTTTAACCGAACCGAGCCGGCCGACCGTAACCAAAATCGGTTCGGTTGGAAAATTTTAAAAATTCGGTCGGTTACGTTCGGTTCGGCTAACGATTTTTTCGGCTACGATCAGTTCGGTTGAGAATTTTTAAAAATTTGGTCGGTTACATTCGGTTCGGTTGTAAAGAACAGAAATCATTTTTTTAATTTGATTGCAGCGGATTTTCCAGTGAGATATAACAAAGTAAAAAAAAAGAGCACCACCGCACTAGAGTTAAGTCGACTGACTGCACGAAATGCAGGCAGTAGCCGACTTATTGCTTGCGACTCGCTTAGTTGCCATAGTAAATCCTTCTTCTTCTCAACACATGAGTCACGATTCTAGTCAGTTTCGCATTCCTAGCGCTCGAGCATAATTTAGAATCGGAAAAAAGTTTGACGAGATCGTAAGAACGTCATAAGTGCACATCTGAAATCCGTTTCTCGGGATTCGGTGTAATCTGAGATATTAAAGAAATCGAAAGTGATATTTAACAACTGATACTTTCCTTATATGGCTATGGATGATTCAGTCTTACATGCCAATTCAGATCTAAGATGCTAAATGCATATATTTTTTCATTAATTATCGCCTTGTGAAATTTAAAATAGTACATCATGAGATCTACAACGCATAGATATGTTTTTCCTAATGGCGGTCAAACAATCGAAATAAATATGCAGAAAAACGATAATTAACAGCTGATGATGGTCATTTATATTCAAAAGTGATTCAGTAGCAGAAAGTCAACAAATTTAGGTGTCATTCATATAAAATTCCTTGAGCTTTCATATCTATTATCATCGGTGGTAGCTCATCGCGTCTGCAGTCAGTCGACTTTTCAACTCGAGCTTGTCCAGGGTGGAATTCTACCATTCAATTTGCTATTCGTATTCAATTTGATGTTGATGGTATTCAAGCGTGGTTAGTAATATTCAATTTGTTTTTGCTAATATTCAGTTTGTTGAGTAAGTATTTTCTTCTAACTGAACTCTAGAAAAAAATTTGGTCGGTTACCTTCGACTCGGTTGAAAACTTTTCACAATTCGGTCGGTTACGTTCGGTTCGGTTAGGAAAAAATACCAACCGATCCCATCTCTGTTGTGGCTCTACTGTCTTTGATGATTTTACATCCGGTTGAAGATAATAGTATAGAGCAATATGGGACTTTTTTGAATGACCACTTTCATTTGAATATAGATCGATCGATGGTTACCATTTGATGAAAAACATGGTATTATTCTACATCGACAAAATCGTATCGACGATCGACCTGGCTTCTATTTTACTAGTTGGATTGGATGAGGAGCTCGAGGTGTTATTAGTGAAACTACGACAGAATGTATGAGAACTTTTATTTTTACTAATAGTAACTTTCATTGTTTATTCTTTTTATTTCAATATTCTAACTCATACAGTTGCTAAACGAATTATGGAAGATATTGAACAAGGTCATTTGACTAATTTATATGCTGTTAAATCAGGAGGTGATGGTTTAATATCACTTGCTAAGTCTCTTCAAATTCGATGTATTTCATATAATGATTAGAAAAAACTAGACGAATATGAAACAAATCTTGGTCATGTTAAAGAAAAATCACATGAAAAAATACTCAATATTCAAAGAATGTTTGAATTAACTGCTTGTTAAAAAAAACAAAAACAAAGAACTCATTTTTAAATAGTTTATGTGTTTGGGCACTTGTCAGGTTTTCTTTTTTTTCTTGTCTTCCAGATAATAATTTGTTGATTAACAATACATCAAATCAATACTTTTCCTAGTGTTTGATATCTTTATTTCATATAAAAACATGTTACGTTTAATACCTTCGTTCATTCGGCAATCCCCCTTTTATAATATATCGTTCAGCTAGTCGACCATTAAATTCTCATTCACATAATGAACCTCGTGTTCGTCTTTATCTAGAGAATCAACATACAGTAGAAGAAATTGCTCAAAATATTCCTAAAGAACGTAAACGTGAAATTGAAAAATGATATGAATTTGAAAAAGTTGAAATTAATAATCAACCTTCAACACATGATGAATATCGTCATAATATCAATCGTTTGTATTAGATAATTTTTCTTTTATATTTATAGACAGAAAAAATACTTATTAATTGTTTCATTTTTTCTTCTAGGTTGAAAAAAAAGGTGTATTTAATTTAGATGATATTATTCAAATACTTCGTGATGAATGAATGAAAGATATCTGTGTTATTGAAATTTCACCAGAACAACAATATGTTCGATATCTAATATTAGCTACTGCTTTTAGTGCCCGTCATTTGAAAAGTACAAGTGAATATATTAATAAATTAGTAAGCAATAATACTTCAAACGAAAATTAAAATATATACAGGGTGTTTCAAAAGTTTTTAAACAAAAAAAAAACTTCGAATATCTCCACCATGCTTTGATCAATCGAGCACATCTTCTCTCAGTGATAGAGGAGACTATAATAGATATTGCTTTGAGCACTCATTTAAAAGCAAACTATTATTATGATGAAATCGTAGTAGTGATATTCGCATTTTTTTTTCGTATAGTGACTTTTGCAAACACCCTATACATATACATATTTATTGTTTAGTTATAAAGTTAAAAAGAAATCAAATGATCCTTATCTAAGTAATGAATGTCTTGATGGTTCAAGATGGCATGATACGGATATAGGTATGTTGTTAGGAAAGAAAATATTCAAGTTTACTTTTTCTTTTTTTTTTTTTATTTCTTAGGTCATCTTGTTTTACATTTAATGGGTGTTGAAATGCGTGAATAAAATAATCTTGAAACATTATGGTGTGTTGATCTCAAATATGATGATCAAGTACATACAATTCAACAATCATTAGATGTAATTAGAAAAATGGATGAACAATTAAAAGAAGAAGTTTTAATAGTTGCTGATAAATATCGACTACTTGATAATCCATATTAACATGTGTGTTATTTATTGGAAGGTTCAGGAATATTTCAAGATCCACCATCACGAAAACATATGACATTAGATGATCTTCCACATAAAAAAAATGTAGAAGAACAAACAAATATTGAAGTTGAAAAAGAATTTATTAATTTACCAAGTGATCCAAAATCACCAGTTTATAAAGAACAAAAAGTTAATTAAATTTCGTTCGTCTTTTTGTGGATACACTTTATTTTATCAATATAAATAAATGATAGGAAAAAAAACATTATCAATAGCATAAAGATATCATAATTTCTATGTTAAATACTCAGTAAAATCTCAATACATGCACTTGAACAAATAGACACCAACGAGTTATTTTATCAAAAAATACAGGATATTTCAGAGAGATTCATGAGGCAACTAAGAAGTACTTCTCCTCCGCTTCCTTCACATTCAATAAATTTTGTTAAAATTAGGATTGTACCTATTGATTTATCTTTTTATCGATTTTTTTTGTTCTAATATCGCCATTATTTCATAGAGCACTTTAAAAAGTGGCTACTAGAATCACAATCAACATAAAAATTCATAGATCAATGGCAATAATTTCATAATCATACTTGTTATTTAGTACTTTTTGATTGTGTAAGCAATTTTAATTTTTTTTTCATAACCATTTTTATCAAATAAATTACATCTATTTCCAGTAATAATAATTCCTATTGAAGATATGTTGCTTTTGAAAAAGAACAAAAAATTCTAAGTATATAATGAAGAGAAATATTTTAAATTAATCATTGAATCATTGCAAATATATAAACAGAATAATTTTCTATTGAAAACTGTTATTTTCTATCAGAAATAGCCTCTATGTCCTAAATGCCATCCTTACACCTTGACCATCTATTACTAGTATTATGAGACAAAAGTAGGTTATTTTGACTAATATTTCCGAAGATAATGAAGATATATAGATGACACATACAAGAAAATTATTTCGGGATTATCAATTATAATGGTCTTATAATAATTCAATTCCTGTTGTCAGCGATGAAAACCGGATATCAATAATAAAATGAATTCAAAATGAGTTTTTCTAACTTCTTATAAAGATTTTGTCTACCATTTCGCTACCCTAGTGCGATCTGGTTTTACAACGTTTCAATTTTTTAGAATAAATGAAAACAATTAAGAATAGTCAACGCATGTTGTTTTTGGTCTACAAAGAACATTTCTCTGCTGATAATACACATAAAAGTTTATTTTGAATGAGTCGTCTTACTGTATCTTTCCATATTAGAGCAATTGTACAACCACATTATTCAATATAAAAGCATTTATTGATATGACCCAGAGAAAAATCTGTAATTCACTAGAGATCTGCTAATATATCCAATAAAATCATAGACGATCCGAAGAGAAACAGAGAATGATAATCAATGAAAGAACAGGATAGTGTAAAAAAGCAAGTGAGGAAAAATATTTGAACTTAACAGCTGATAGAGAAGTAAGATTATGAATCGATGCACATGTGTTATGAAGAAAGAAATATACTAGATTAAGTCTAGTTTTGTCACATAGACTTCCAGGTTATCATTATCAATAAAATGCGATTTCTATTTGTTCAAGATTAACAGATAGCATTGGCAACAGATATATGAGCTATCTTGTTACTGAGAATCTTTTGTTGATATCTATGTATCTATATCCGCACCTGTACAAGTTGATAAATAAGAGTATTGGAATGGCATCATGTTCTTTCTAATGAATTAACAAAAGCTTGATTTTCGAATATTAGTGGCAAATTTGTAATCCATCCAAACAAGCAGAGTGTAAGTGTAAATGATCGGGTTAGTATGCACTTGCGCGTGCGAGAGTAAGAATGTGTGGCGAGTCAAGACAATCTCAATATCCCTAAAATGATGTCTTTTGAGCAGAATTTTAGAGAATTTTTGTTGTATCTTTTGGAATGTTTCAACTTGCAGAAATGTTGCTGAGAAAATCGAAATATAAGGTAACCACTGAATATTAAAGAAAAAAATAGGCATTTTTTAAGGCATTGTTGGTGCTGAGATCATGTAGGATATCTTACGTTAGGATTCGAGTATTTCCCAGCATGGTTTGCACTAAAGTCGATTCCAACTAGATCTCAATGAGATCTATCGATTCCACTACTTTTCTCCCGGAAAAACTCTTCCTCCACAACAAAAATCCCATTTTACTACAACAAAAAAACTTACGAAAAAAAGTGAAAAAAAAAAGAATAAACTGTCGCGATTCGCTCGGTTGCTGATTCCAACAAAATCAGTCATGGTTCCAGATAGAACTCGACAAGCTCTATGGAATGGACACCTTTTGAGCTCGATTTTGTGCTCGGGTTTCGGAAAACCAGCCAGTCCAGGACACAATGGAACTATTTTTACTTCTAACTCGTAGCGCTTCGCTTCGTTGCCGGTTCCAATGAAACTAATAATAGTTCTAACAAAATTGTTTGATGCCATATGATAGACAATATTTATTATGAAATTTTCTGATGAATAAGGTCATATTTAATCGTATTGTATTAAGATATCTGAATAGACACAACATGTACCATTTTACATTTTTGTTAATTTATGTTAAATCAACAAGATTGAAATAGTTTTATATAAAAAGAAAAATACAACAAAGTTTGATTCATCAATGAGATCAGTAATTTATAACTAAGAATTCGATACTTGTACTGTGACTGAGCATATAAGTGTGTAGTAATGGGTTAAATTTTCTTTTCATTGTGTATTAATAAAAATATTGTTTTACTATAAAGTTATGTTTAAGAGTTTCGATAATACGAATAAATTTTCTTCAAAATTTATTCTTCTTAATAAGTTATTTATTCTATTGAATCTCTTATTTGGTCAAATATTGATATTAATTTAGAATTTTAGAGACATAATATTTATTTATAAATTTAAAAAATGAAAATTTTTTTTGAAAATAACAGTATTGATGACATAAAGAAATTTCGTACACTATCATGCATGTATGCACAAAACAAAAAAAAAAAATATATATATGAATTGATTTTTTTTATTGAAGATAGTAAACAAAACCATAAAACATTTTTTGATCTAAATTAAAAATAAAATCATTTAAAAAACATATCGTTGTTTTTTTCCAAAAGTCATACCTGTTGGATTTTTTTAAGAATACCGTGTTGATGATCAATAATTTTTGCTTTATTTAAAAAGTCATATACATATCCAAGAGAATAATTTAATTTTTGACTAAATTCTTATTAAAATTGTCAAGGTTTTCTCTGGTTATAATTATCAAGAATAAAATCGATCATAAAACAAATTTTTTAATTCGAATATTTCGTTTATTTGAACAGATATTTTTTCATATTTTAATGCCAATATTATTTTGTTAGTTTTTAAATATTCAGATATTAATTTTTAAAGCAATAACTTCTCAAAGTTTAATATTCATGAATAGTAAACACATTTATCTCTTTATATAATTAATATAAAAATATCATTTCGAATATTATTTTTTCTATTTTATTAATTTTGTTATGTTTAATTAAAATAGATATAAATTGAGTATGATAAAATATTTTATCAGATAATAATTAAATCTGACTTAAACAAAATGATTGAATTAATCTTTTTTTAATCTTAATCAATTATCAATTGTAATCAATGACATTATTAATTATTAAGATTAAAAAAAGTTTTTCATTATGACAATATAAAACACATTAAATTGCTTTAAATTTAAATTAACATATTGAAATTAACGAAATAAATCTGTTCAATAATAAGGAAAATATTGAATTTATCTAAAAACAACTAATACATAATTAAATTGAATTTACATTCTTTTTACCTTTGCTTTTATTGTCCACATATTCGGTTTCATAATGACCGATATATATTCAACTTTCATGTTTATCATTATATCATTACCAAATTGACGATATTCTAAATCAAACAGAAATAATTTTTCTTCGTTTTTTTGTTTTTTTTTCCATTTTTTTTTGTTTTTGGTTAAATTTCTTGACTAAATATTGTTTTAATGAAGAAATAACTAATATGGCGGAATGTACCATTGATAAATTTTTTTTATAATTTTCAAATTTTTCATTTCATTATTTAGGATAAAGACGATTTTCAATAAATTTTAATGAAAACAACTTAAATGTTAATACATAATTCATGTTTTTTAATCCAACGACGAATTTATTTTCATTTATTATTTTTAATGTAGAAAATAATAGATGATAATTCCACCTATTATTAAAATCCATAAACATGTAACAATCTACAAAAAAAATTCAATAGAGAAAAATCTAAAATAAATAAAAATAATTCGTTTTTTTTAATACATACTTTGATCATATTCATGATTTTCATTTTCTTTTTTATTTCAAATTTTTCTTTCTAAAAAGAAAAATAAATCATAGAAATGTTTTATAAGAAAAAAACTAATTTACTTGTTCTTCATTTTCTATTTTATCAATAATATTATCAATAATATTTTCTACTTGACATAATTGTTCATTTTCCAATTCATTTTTACGATGTAGAATTTCATTTTTAAGACGTAGAATTTCATTTTCATTAGTTTCCTTTTCATTTCTTAATATTTCATATCGTTGATTAAGATGTATAATTTCATTTTCATAAGTTTTTTCATTTCTTAATCTTTCATATCGTTGATTAAGATGTAGAATTTCATTTTCATTAGTTTAACTAGGGGTGTCAACGTTCCCCGTTCCTCAGCATTCCGTTCCTAGGAACGGGAACGCTTGTCAAAATCGCATTTCACGCTATATTTCAACATGGCGAGGTCTCTAGACATATTCACTTTTCTTTTTATGTTTGAGTGTTCAGCGTTCCCCGTTCCTAGGAACGGAATGCTGAGGAATGGGGCACGTTGACATCCCTAATTTTTATGAAATTGGCTTTCCTTCGGTGAATTAGTAAAATTTCTGTTAAAAGTGAAAGAAACGTATGTTGCGTTCCAGTTTCTAGGAACGGAACGCTGAGGAACGGGGTAGCGTTCCCCGTTCCCAGGAACGGGAACGGAATAGCGTTCCCCGTTCCTAGGAACGGAACGCAAAGTTGACACCCCTAATTTAGTTTCCTGTTCATTTCTTAATCTTTCATATTGTTGACATTGAATTCTCATATGTGTAAGAATATGAAATAGACTTGGACCATAAAAATTATCTAAATCACGAATAATTTGATTCCTTTGTTCATTGGTCAAGTTGACATTGAATTGAATGTTCTGCAAAATTAAAAGTATAATTTATCATATAAAGAAAACAAAATGTTCGCATGCAAAAAACAAATAAACAAGACAAACTTATTCAACATTTTTTTTTAGCCTTAATAGATCATGCAAAATCTTTGTATTAATATTAGATAGAACAGAGCTTTTATGGCTATACCGTTGGATTTAAGAGCGTTATTATATTTGTAGTAAAATCCATTCTCAATGATACAAAACAAAGACGAAACAAAAGAAGACAGATAAAATTAATCTGAAATGGTAACGTAGGAAATAGAAGATAATAGAAAAGAATTTGAAAGAAAATTACGTAGAACTTCTCGTAGAGTTAAATTCTAAATGATTAAATGAGTGATACAAAAGACAAATTTGTTCTAACCTTATTATCAAGACACGTTATTATTAGCAGTTGAGCAAATAAGAAACAAATACAACCGAATATAATAGGTACGATAATAAAGAAAGTACAATCAAAAATATATAAAGAATAATCTTGTTTAAATGAAAATGTCTGTGAGCATTAAATAATCTATTATATAAAAGGAAAAAGAAACAAAGTGAAAAAATATGAACGAATTGCGAACGAGATCGATAGAAAACGTACAATATGTGGATTCTATATCGCATAACATAGTAATATACCGACAAAGTGAGAAAAAACATCAAATCATTATCAAATGGAGAATACACTTATGCACTTAGTGGCTCTAATTTCTGAAATACTCCGATCACTTTTTCAAAGGGACTACTTCATATCAAATTGTAGTTTGTCAAAAGACAAATTATCTCATGAAGTCAGATTTTTCGGTCTTTTTGTTCTTATTGTTATATTCGTGCACACATTGTTTTCAACAAAAGGCGTACATAGTAGAAACAAAATGTACAGAACATCTTCATTTTGATTTGCACCAATGTTTCGAATGATTAGTGCACCAAGCAAAATCAAAGTGAGCACGTCACGCACTTATTGTGATTTGCACTCTATTATAAGATTTTTCACTGTGTTTTATTTTTTAATTTATATTGGTTTTTTCATTTTTACACCGGATTTTCTTATTTATTATGTTCTTTGATTGAAGCAAATAGTCTTTTCTTATTCTTATTTCAGAGAATGAACAAAGAACAGTCATTTAAACACTCAAACAACGTTTCCAGAAAAATTTTTAATTCAATCAACCAGATCTTCATTCGATCAATCAAAAGAAAATTCAAATGACAGTAAGAACCTCTATGCGAAATAATTGTTTTATTCTTCTTGTTTCCAAAATTTTATTCTTTTTTCTCTATGATGATGAACAGTCATATGCAACGGCATGAGATCGATATTAACACCAGGCAGACTCTCATACTTACGTATTAGCATTAATAAATTAGTTTAATCAGCAACTATATCAATCAGTATTAATGTACACCGGTGTCAACTCTAAAATGATACTAATAGTTTCGGAATGAATTTTCCATCTAGTTTGTATATGTATACGCTGGGATAATAGCTCTTGTATCCAAGAAAAGGGAACAAACAACAAGTAATGAAAATATATTAGGAAAAAGTAAAAATAAGCAGAGGAGAACACATCTTATGTGTATTGTATGACGAATAGACACAAAAACAGAAAGTGAAAGAAGTCATACGATATATGATAAGCGTAAGCAAAGGTACATGATACTGGTGCTACAACAAAGTCGCAAACGAGTCTTTCCAAACTTTATTGAAAAAGAAAACTAACAAGCCTTATCGATATATATGTAAACGAAAATATTTTTGGAGAATTGAAAAATTTCCTCCATAAGCGAAAATATTTTTCGAAAATTCTCAGATAGTATTAAATTTTTAAAAATTTTCCCAATTTGACTAGGTTTCACAAAATTTTCGCGAACGGCCGTTCGTGCAGACGGGTAGATTCTGCATGGCTAAATTTCATCAACGTCGTGTGCGACTACTCAGTACGACCATCGTAAATAGCGTTCATATACGATCATATATTTGTTGTATTCAATGCAAAGTAATTTTTTTTTGTGTAAAAGAATTTTTTAAATATCTCTATCTGTTATAATCGCGCAATGAACAGTAAATATGCTTTGTTATAAGGAACAATTTTTTTATGTACAATCCCTCTCGATAGCACAACTACCAGTATATGTGATTTTTAACTAGGCACTCTGTTTTTTCTTTTTATTTTTAGATTTATTATAATAATAAATGGAACAATAAGTTAAAATTTATTTAAATAATTTTTTATTTTTATTTTTAGATTGTTGTATCAAGAAATCGAAGAATAAGTATCAATTTAAATTAATTTTTCGATTTATTATAAGGATAAATCAAACAGTAATTATTAACTTAGATAAATTGACGTGCTCAGACAGACTGAGCACCTCAAATATTAGCCTTTGTATTATTGAAGACTGAAGAGGGGAAGGAACAGGACAAGTTTATGTGGGATAATATGAGAAACGATGTTGTTATTTTCTCTTATTTGTTAATAAGTTAAGTCGTTTCAAATGACATGTATTATTCAAAAAAAATTCTCCTTAAATTTGGTATAATATTGTAATTAAGAATTTATTTGAATGAACAAATTTTTGACAATGTCTAAGAATTACACTTGCTTTGACTACTTTCTTTTTTTTTCCTTGTAAAATGTCGTCATTGAATATTTTATTAATGCTTACTGATATATTTAATTATAAGACACTGATAAAAAGTATACTAATTTATTCCATTTCAAAATGTTCTACTTTTATTTCTTGTTTTTTTATAATTTTTGTTTTATAAATATAGATAATAATGGTAGAACAATTTATCTTTTTGTTTCATACGTAGGTGTTACACAAAAATATAAGAATTTAATTTTGATGTACTCGAATATCTTTTTCATATATAACGTAAAGATGGGTGAAGATCTCGAGAGTGTTTAACTTTGTCAAGATTCATTTGTCAATTATTTTTTTAAAAAAACTAAAGATAATTATGTATTCAATGTTACTCTAGCAAATGATAAAATTTGCAAGGGAAGAAATGTGATGTTACATAGTTATTATCCAAAAAAAAATACGAAATATAATAATTGAAACAATGATTCATATAAATTCACAGAATGTTTAAGAAATTAGTCAATTCCAATTGTCAGGAAAATCAAATTTCCGTGCTTTTTAATATGACAGAAGGCACAAACTTAAAGCATCGTTCAAGTCTATTGAAAACTTATTTTTACGCATATCTTACTCAAGAAATCGAATTCCTTGTTTACAATTGAAATAACTGAGAAAATTTATTTTTTTCTAAAAGATTATTTAAATTAAAAAATAAATCTCTTGATTAAATCCAATCTAAAGTAAATACCAATATATTCGATTACGGTCGAACTGCGATCACAGTTGCTAAAAGAGACGATATAGGTTAAATTTTACAAAAAAACTTAACGAAAGATAATCATTAAAAAAAATAAACAAAAAATAAATAATATTATAAATATTAATAATAATAGAAAAGAGACCCATATTTCTCCGTTTTGATTTACAAAAAAATCTGTTCAGAATACGTATTCTATTTTTCTGTAGTAGAATTATCTATGAATCACAGTTTCAGGAAAGTTTTCTCTTATATGGTTCCTCTGTAGCTAAGTTTTAGCGTTACAGTGTGATCAATTACGATTAAGGAAGAAGCACTTATAATTGGTAGGTATCGCATACATTAAATCATATGATGCGCGTAGCTGCGACGCAATTGTTAAAAAAGAGGCGGCGTAGCTACAAAAATAAGGAGAGATAATTGATTTCAATAAAATTCTTTTTTTTCTGCTTCGTTTAAGTTGGAATGAATGAGGAAATTAATTTTTATAGAAGAGACTATTCAAGGTAAAAAGTAAATTTCCTGATCAAATTCAATCTAAAACAACCACACAAATATAATTAAATATATTTGTTAATAATCATTTCATTGGAATTTTCTGAAAATGAAAACTTATCATTTTATAATATGTTTAAAATAAAATAAATTCATCAAATGAAAATATAAGATAGAAACATTCATTCAATAATAGAACATTAAATTATATGTTATTGTTTGATTAACAGAACATTGTTTAAATCTCTTCCTTGTAAATTGATTTCATTAAAAATAATTTCCATTTGAAATCTAGATAATTCATTTCTATTATTGATGCTAACTAATCATATAACAATATTGAAATTCATCGATATAGAATCCAGGAAATATATATACAGTAGATAAACATTTTTTTTTTTAAAAGACAAATCTCAGATTTGATTGCATTTTAATGTCTTTTCAATTCTATCTTTTATATATAAAATCATTTTTCTCTTCTCAGAAAAAAGTCCAATTTTATGAATAAACTAATGGAATCTTAGAATAAAACATATATCAATCAACTTATTACGACAAGATTTTATCAAATAAAATCGAACTCATCTTAACTTTTTTCTTGTCAAGAGGGAAAAAAGTTGCCGCTAGGATTTTTTTTTTGTTTCTTAATTTCCCCGAAGTCATATAAACTACATAAAACGGTTAAAGATAAACTTATAAATCCTATCTGGAATAAAACAGATTATCATCATTCTTTTACCATTTCAAAGGTCTATTCGCGAGTTATATGTTTGTTTAACATGCACATGAGCGTATCTTATTTCATCCTAAGTTTTTTTTTTCGCCTAAAACAACGGCATATATAGGATTGATTATTTCCCGAATACTTAGGAAGTTTTATCCGATAGTGTTGCAATCAGTTCAGAGATAATTTGTAAACATGTTTTCGTCAATGTACTTTTTCCTGTTTGCACGTCAAGTTTGTTCCTAATTGTACATTTTCCTGTTTACACGTCAAGTTTGTTCCTAACTGTACTTATCTAAAAGTGGAGAAAGATTTCGTTTTAGTCTCACTATTTGAATAGTGAACAATGATTTTCGATGTTCCTTATATTTGATATTGTTCTAGAGGTTAATAGTAAAAGAAATGAGCTACGGTGAAAAACCATAACTTCATTTTTATTAAAACTGATGAACTACAAATCACAAACGAACAATGATGTTCTTTTTTTTTGGGAACAGCAATTCCGGGTATAAAAAAACATTTGCTTTATTATTAGGAATGACACATCCGGAAACAAAAAGTCTTTGTTCTTTTATCAGAAACTTCCGAATATGAACTGTAAGAGGTATAGTCACTCGAAGTACATATATAC